GCCCATAACCCTGCCATCGACTGGCAAAAGAAGACTATTCTCAGCCGAGAACCTGCGCGCAAGGTTGCTNGAGTACGACACGAGATACGCCCGATAAACCAGAGCTCACCCCAGGACGGGAGGTTTGGCAAGATCTCACCGCATAAGATCGCGAGAATCTATGCGAAGGACCCTCAGAGTGTAGGAGTCATATAGATACGACGGGTCGCGACCACGAAGGAAGGACCGGTACCACAGGTTACGCCCACGAAGGACGAACCGCTGTTGGCGATTCCAGCAGAATACCGAACACGAGAATTCAAGGAACTGTTCGAGGAAAACGAAGCAACAGACTTAGCAGAACACCAGGATTGGGATCACGAGATCATCCTGGAGGAAGGAGCAAAGTTGAGCCTAGGAGGAATGTACTCTATAGCGCCCGAGCACGATGCTGAGCTGCGGGATTACCTCTAAAAGAACTTAAAAAAGGGATTTATCCGACCGGGATTAGGCCCGATGGCCTCACCTATATTGTTCGTAAAGAAGCCTAACGGGAAGTGGCGACTATGTGTCGACTTCAGGAGGTTGAACAGCGTTACTTGGAAGAACCGATATCCTCTACCACTTATTACAGAGCTCATGGATCGACTCTAGGGAGCTAAGTGGTTTACGAAGTTTGACGTTCGGGAAGGATTTTACTGAATCAGAATCAAAGAAGGTCACGAATAGATGACAGCGTTTAAGACGAAATACGGACTCTTTGAGTATACGGTTATGCCGTTCGGATTGACGAATGCGCCGGCAAACTTTTAATTAGTTATTAATAACGCTCTTTACGAATACCTCGGAATCTTTGTTACCGCGTACCTAGACGATGTACTGGTGTACACTAATGGCACACGCGAAGAACATGTTGAGCATATTAAGAAGGTCTTACGAAAGCTTAAGGAATATAAGCTATACCTTTAACCAGGAAAGTGTGAGTTTCACACACAAGAAACGGAATTCCTCGGATTTATCATTTCAACCGAAGGCGTGAAAATGAACCTAAAGAAGATATAGACTGTATAGGAATAGCCAAAACCTAACATAGTTAAGGATGTTCAATCCTTTCTAGGATTTGCGAACTATTATCGAAAGTTTATTAAGAATTATTCGAAGATCACAGCACCCCTTACGGAGATAACGAAAAAGGAAATAGGTTTTAAATGGGAACAGGAACATTAGGAGGCTTTCGATCGGATTAAGTAGATATTCCTAGAGGCACTAGTACTCGAGATGTACAACTCTCAAAGACCCACTAGAGTCGAGACCGACGCGTCTGACTACGCACTCGGAGCTGTA